GAGTGATGGTTGATGAATATCATCAGGAGAGACCAAATCTGGGCAGCAAAACAGAGTCTCAATGATTACATGAATAGTGTCCACATCCTTTCCCTCCTTAACTGACACCCTGGGTACACTGATTAAATTTTTAAACCTCAGTTTCCTCATCTGTATAATGGTGGTAACTAAAACTTCTCTCATATAGAGTTGCTGTGAAGATCAAATGAGATTAGATAGGCAGAATGTCTGGATCATCATGAACCTTTGATAAATATTCTTAGCATCATGAGTCCCATCAGACAGAGGTACATCATCTCCCCCAGGAGATCACCAGCTAAGACTGCCAGGCAGCAGGCTTCCTTCTTTCTGCTGAGCCCATTGCCTTCTATGCCTGGTCTGTGGGGCCTAGGACAGCCATGGAGACTCAGGAGTGGCAAGGACCCTGTCCAGACAGCCAATTCCTCTCCTCCCTGCTAATAGGCAAGTAAGCCGGAGGCCTGATGGTCCTGTTGGAAAAACTCTGTTCAGTTTCTTGTTCTGCTCACCCAGCTTGACAGCTGGGCCAGGGAGTATGCATAAACAGCCTGCCTGGAGAGGTACCACCACAGAGGTACCACTCCAGGAGTGGGCAGAAGCCAGCAGCCGAGAGGGCTCTGGATAGTGAATCAGGATCCTGGGTTCCAGGCCCTGGTCTTCCACTTACCAGCCACATGTTCCTAGGCAAGGAATGTTAGCTCTAGGATTTATTTCCTTATATGTGCAACAAGAATGTCTGTGTCACTCTTAGAATCCCCAGGGTTCTACAGGGTCACATGAATTAGCAGGTGTGTAAGTGCTTTGAAGATGGAGACCTGCTGGCGGGCTCAGGTAGAGAGCTGGCAGGGATGTATACCCATGAAGGCTGGATGCTCCAGATCCTGAAAGTCGTTATCTGAAAGGGACTGACCTTTCTGTCCTCAGCCTGGCATTGGGCTCACATCCAGGATTTGCCACCACCTTTCTTTCTGTCCATTCTATAGACTCATCTTCTCTTCAGAATCACAAATATGCACCAGACTTTGGCCTCTATGCATTTGCTCAACTAACTTCCTCCCCCCAGCTCCTAGGCCCTCCTCCACTTGCAAAAATCCAGAATCCTCTGACTCCCTAAAGGGAAGTGCTCTCTGTGGCCATAGACTTCAGTGAGACCTCTCTCAGAGCAGTGGTGACATTCCAGTTTCTGTTCAGCTTATATAAATCTTCCACCTCTTTTTAAAGATAGCCATGGAAAGGACCACCTCTGATTGTGAGTATATGTGGTGTGTGTGTGTGTGTGTGTGTGTGTGTGTGTGTGTGTGTGTGTATTCAAGCACACACGTGACACATTTTTAAAAAAAATTTTCACATGTGACAAATTGTGTGTGATAAAGTGTCACAGTTGGAAAGAACATGGGTTTTAACATCCAATAGATAAGGATTCTAATCCTGATTCTGCCATCTTAATTCATTCTGTCCTATCTGTTGATGCCCACCTGGAGGGACCTTGAACACATTGTGGGTCTTTCTGGGTCTTGGCTCCTTCGCTTGTCAAGATAGACTCATGATACTTATGCTGGAGGGTTGCATGAATGATTCCTAACCATGGGTGCCTGTGCCTGCCTCCACGTAGAACTATATTCAACAATCTGAAGGGGTGAGACTCACTTCTGTTTTTGAGCATGCCCATGGGGCCCAGTTACAGTATTTAATGACTCATGTTAACACTGTCATGAACATCCTATCACTTCTCTCCAGCTCAGAGAAGTATGCAGACATACAGATCTGGCCATAGTGTGGCCCCCTGAGGACTGGCTCCAAGCACTGACAGCCCATGTCCCCCCCTCAGATGTACCAGCTGCTTGAGCTCACTCACAAGAGGCAGTGGGGACCCAGCATCCAGGCCTGGACAGGAACAGGCATCTCCCTTCTTTGGTGACTATGACCTTCCTGCTGATGTCTGGGGCTCTGTCAGGACCTGCATCCAGTAAGGCCCAGCTTGGCTGAAGCCACGGGGGCTGGGAACCTGGTCACCAGGGAGACCACTCCTCCTTCAACCCTACTAGGAGCAGGAAGTATTGTTCACAACCAGAAGAAAATGAACTCTGTTCTTTAGGAAACTGAGTTAAAATATTCTGAGTGTCTTTCTGGCATTTTAACCTTTCAATGTTGCCTTTACGAATTCAGAAGGCAAATGATCCTCAAAATGATGTGTGTGCATGTGTGTGTGTGTGTGTATGTGTGCACATTCACTAGCTTATTGCTCTTAGACCTGGTTACATGGTCACTGACATCATTTTAATGTTGCTAAGTTGAGATGCTTTCAAGTTCCTGACCAAGAACCCCTGCTTGAGAAGGTGACAGAAGCCTTTGGAGCATGCAGGAAGGGCCAATCTAGGGAGCTATTGATACCTGCTTCCTCCTTACCAACTCACCCATGCATGCTCTTTGAGCTTTGGTGTCCTTTTCTTGTCATTGTTGCAGGGATTAAATACAGTGTGATAATGTTTGGATGTGTTTTGTAAATGCCGAAGCACTATGAGGGTATCAGCACTTGATGTTGTGCTTCCTACACACACTGGTGACCCTTCAGCGTGTCCCTCCAGGCCAGAATGTCAGGCTGTTTTTGGAGGATGTGCCCAGGTGCTGAGCAGACATCTAGCCAGTCCACTGGCCCACTTTTCATTGAGCGTTCTCCTCGGGCATCCTCATAGATCACCCTCATTGGAGTGACCTAAGGAGCCCACTGACAGTGCAGTGCCCCCGACCTGCTGATTTGGAAACCCCAAGTATGACCCAGGAATCTCGATCTTTAACCAGTACCCCAAGTTTATCAGGTGAGTCTGAGAAACACCAAAGTGTGAGAATCGTGGACCCAATGGTGTCCCCAGAAATGTATTCCTTGATTCGTTTACTCTACAGCAGTGTGCGGACACCTATCTCATGCCAGGGGCTTTGTGTGGGGACAGTCTTTGGGAGCAGGGGAGACGCACAGATGAACATCTCACTCTGATGTCACACACCAAGAATCTAATGAAGACACGTATCCAACCCTGAATTCTGTGCGCCCCGTGAGGGGGCCAAGCGATGTGGAGATGGCTGACATTCGGCTCCGTTTTTTCCCCTGGGAGGCAAAGCGCTGCACACACCATCGTAGTTACTGTTTATCAGAGCTCTGAAAGGTAAAGAAGGAAACCGAGGCTTAACAAGTTTCAGTGACTTGTGCGGGGTCCTAGGATGGCAGTGGTGTGCTGGTAAATGTTTAATCAGGTTCTCAGGGTGGGGGAGGGAAGCTCTGATCCACACACCTTCCCCACAGGGTCTTGGTAAAAGGACAGAAGGGCCACTGTCTCTGCACACTTTCCTGAGGGTAGGCTTACACCTTGCACTCCCAGAGTCCCTGAGGCTGCCACCAAGCCAGGCCACCCACCATCTTCCCCTTTCTATAATGAGCTTCCGCACATTATGTCATCCAGGTCCTTCATAAACTGGAACTTGCTGTCTCACCAGACCCAGGGCAGATGGTGTGTGTGGCTGACTGATGGCAGCAGCTGGAACTCAGGCCGGGAATGCTGAGCCCCACCACAGCTCTGCTGAGGCTGACTGTGGACAGACAGGCTGGTCCAGCTGTGAGGGCTCGCGGTCAGACAAAGCCCTCTCCTGGCTGCGGGAGATGCCCAGAGGATGTCACAGTGAGTTGCAGCATCCCTCCAGCGGACTTGAGAAGCTGTGGCTGAAAGGTGAGGGCAAGAGGACCTGGCAAACGGAGCACCCACAGGAGCACCGTAGGTGCCCTGGAGCCAGGCCCTTGGTCATGCAGGATGGAGAAATGTGGGTTCCTTCAGCTCTCAGCCAAAGGAGTCTCCCTGAGTTCTCCCAGCTCAGCCTGGAGAGGGAGGAGCACATCAGCCCTGGGCAGCTGCGGCGGGCACAGATGGGTAGGACCTCCATGTCAGGGTCTGGCGGGGCTGGTGCTCAGGCTGGGACAGGTGGCACTGAGGCGTGAAGGTGCCCAGGCATCCGTCCCTTTTCTCAGACAGACTTCCTTCACTCAGCCTGTCTTGGACACACAGAGGGGAGGGCTGGGAGGGCTGGAGGGGCGGGGGAGCTACAAGGAGCCAATCACCCTGCACCGGAGCCTTCAGGGCCGGTTCTCTTCAGTGTGTGAGAGCGCGTGTGCGCATCAGCGGGGATTTCTGTGATAGAAGCAGCCGGATTCCAGAGAGGGAGAGAAGAGGAGGGGGAGGAACCGGAGGGGAGGAGAAAATTGGGGGTGGGAGAGACAGACGGAGAGAACAGCAGTGGGAGAGAGGGAAGAGAAGCCCAGCCAGGAGAGAGCGGGAGAGGGAGCGGGCGGGAGGCAGCGAGAAAGTGGAGGGGAGAGTAGAAAGGGAGAGCGAGCAGGGAGAGGGCAGGACGAGAGAGCCGGGGAGCCGGCGGGCGTGCGCGCCGCGGCGGCAGACCGCGGGTAGAGGGATGGGGTGAGGACCGCG